GTATGATCTATACAGGGGGAAATCGATATCATGGAAGGTGTCAACGATCAAGGAACAAATCAAGCAACATTACATACAAGTCCTGGTAAGTGATACTTTAACTTGAATCGTGTTACTTATCACCCCATCTATATCATTACAGACTGCCTGATGCCAACTAGTCGTACGATGGCAGGGTGAGTACAGCATCATCTTAACTGGGTACTCAGTACTGATCCCCAATCCAGAACTCCTACCTACGACACATGCGACGTGACGCTCAATTTCAATGCGGGATGCGGCGTCAAGTTTCCAACGGCATCCAGTTTTGGGCCAGCATTCAATACGAATGGAGGTGGATGGTTCGCCTCTTATTGCGCTTACATATGTATGTTATATATAGCTGATGCCGACAGGTATGCCATGGAACGATCGCAGACTTACTTCAAAATTTGGTTCTGGTCGAGGAACGACTGTGATGTACCATCGGATGTAGCTCACGCACGTTCATTCGTCAATCCCGACGCATGGGTAGGCGCCTTTATCTATCTATGATCTGCGTGAGTTTTGATTTGCAAGCAGGGAACGCCTGCGGCGTACTTCCCCAACACCTTTTGCGACTTCTCGACCCATTTTGATCCGCAGAATATTATTATCAATCTCACTCTATGTAAGTGCCTTCCTGGAGCTGGTAACGATGACTATAAACATGCCTGCATAGGCGGGGACTGGGCTGGTTCTACCTATAGTCAGGGCACTGGATGCCCCTTGACCTGTGTTGGTGAGTTCCTGCCAAACCCTCCGGCTGCCATAAGATGACTGAAATTCATTTTTAAGACCACGTCAATTACAATGCGTCCGCTTTTACCGACGCGTACTTTGACTTCGCCTCGATTCGTGTGTACCAGGACTCTCGGAAAAACAATTATCGCCAGGAAAGGCAACCTTTTAGATAGATTCAACTCCTTCGTCGTTCACTCTGATTTTTCTTAGTCTGCATTCAATCGCGCCCACCAAACCAACACCAAACAGTAGACTCGCAAGCCAGTCATGCTCGCAAGCTCTATGTCACAATAATCGCAGGACGTTGCGAGGCATGACAAGAGAGGGGCGAGCTTGCGAGCGGACTGGAAACTCTTGTCACCCTTTTGGCGGTTGTAACGTCCCCGCTCAGCGTTGGTGTTGTAAAGCCGGACTTCTTCATAGATCATGGCTGTGGTTGTGGTGAAGATTAATTAGGTTTATTTGTACATATGTGTGATTTGTAGACGACATGGGACTGCAATGACGTCACTGGATCTTAGTAGCCGCAAAATCTTATAAGTACTTGGCAAACGGCTGTAAATTTAACTAAGGTACGAAGTATCAACCCACGTCGCATAATCACTGCCAACAGCGCTCGATATCGAATAAGCCCCAGCTTGCCCTGCGCTCAGAAGCGTAGAAAACAAAGCCCGTTGAGCGCCCTGAATGCCGCTTCCCGTGCTGTTAAAGTCTGCGAAGAAGATGTTATCTGTGTTTGGCTGGTTCGGGGCCCAGATTGACCATACGGAGGGGTTGAGTGGGGAGGTGATGATTGTGTTTTTGAAGATGACTCTGTGATTTAATGAGGAGAAAGTGAGAAAAAGAAAGAAAAAAAAAGGGAGCGGTTTGCGTACTTTGCGTAGTCTATTTGTTGTTGAAAGATCCGAATCAGCGGATAGTTTGATGATATGACGAGACTAGGACTTACTTCTCCATGGTCTACCAAGAAACACATTCCCTGCCGTTCCCGAATCGGCTGTGGACGTCAGGGAAATGTTGTTTTTGTTAAAGACGACTGTATCGACAACGCGGTCAGACGGAATCGGAAATAACAATTGCCAAGAGAGAGGAAAGCGAGCTTACAGCTCGTATCGTCATCGGAACTTCGACCGCTTGCAGTGATGAACCCAGCAGACGACACCGCAATCATATTATTTTCAAAATATGCTTTTCCTTGCCTCCCAAAGATAAAATCCACCGCTCCCTGTCCAAGACCAACAACGACCGCCGTCAGTGTTCATTGCCAACGTCCTAAAGCTTATAAACACACCTCAATATACCCACCCAAATAAACCTGCCGTCCCCTCTCCGCGCGCAGCGTATCTTGAAACCCAAAAAAGGAACACGCATAAAATCCAGCGCGATCTCCAGATTGGCTTAGCGCGAGTGCCTGAGAGCCCCGCCCGAACGTGTTTGATACGATGACGTTGTACATTGTGAAATTGGCTTTGGTGATGCGAAGTGTTGCGCTTGCGTCGTCTGATCCTGATGTATTGGCGGATAAGCCGTATTGGATGGTTACGGTGTTGGATTTGTAGGATTTTGTGTTTTTTGTGTAGCCGAAGATCTTGTTTTGCCGTTAGTATCGTAGTATCACAAGAAGCTACAAAGATAAATGGTGTACCGTGAGCGGACCAGGTCGGGTTATAACAACTTGCTCCGCGTACGTTCCAGGATATATGAAGATAGTTGTCGGGGAATTATCATTCGGGAGAGATTTCACAGCGCCAGAGACGGTCTGGAACTCTCCTGAAGTTGTTGTACCCGCCCGAACGATCACCGACCCAGCAGACGGCCGAATACGCGAGGCTGCTGAGACGTGCGGGAAGAGGTACGCAGTGGCGAGGATGAGATTTAGAGCTAGGGTGAGCTTGAGCATCTTGAGGAAATATAGTGGGGCCCCGTTGAATTTTTACATGCTTTTTAAATGGGCACGTCTGCGCAAATAGGATTGTGATGGTTGAGGGGGCCGCCTATTGATCGGAGCAATCCATAACTATGCAATTGCTATGGAAATATGGTTGAAAAAAATGAAGAATGTGGACGGATAGAGTTCGAAATTCGGGCGCACTTGCTAAATTTCGGAGTAACGCTACACGCGTAACAACCAAGGGAATTGTTTTTGGATATGTTCCGTTGCGTGCCACCGAGGACGACTGCACAGGCATGGAAAAAAGCTACAACGCATAGATAAATTAGAGGTGCTCATCGGTCGCAAAATATAAGTGGAGAATGTCGGGAAAACCAAATGTGCCTTACAGGGCTATAAAGACTTGAATGAACCGCTTGGCCTAAAAGGCAATAAGAGGACAGTTTCGCCGAGATCAAGCCGAGATAAGACGTTTTGCCCTATAAGCTTGTAAGTAGGGCACCAATCGATGCTTGATAAGTACCTGAGGCCTGAACTCTTTTCCAACATAGTTCATTCCAACTCATCCAAGGACCACTTCCTCGCCAGCCTCTCCTTTTATCACTACACTTTCGTTCTTCTGAACCCATTAGTACTATCCTTCACGTCAACTATGATGCTCGCCTTTGCTCCCGACCTCGCGCTCGCCGCCTTCTGCAGTCTCCTTGCCGTCACCATCTTGCCCGCGGGGTCCTGAGAAAAACTTGCCAGTTCCGGTGTTACAGTCGTAGCAACCAATCCTTGTCTTCCGCATTATTGAGAGGGGGTGTTTATGCAAGTCTAGGTGATGATGGTGGAAGAAAGCTGGATGTTACTATGTAGCTCAATAGGGTTAGGGTTAGATGTCCCCTTCTTCAATTTGTTTGATCGAGCTACCGTCCAGCCAACGTCCAGCCCTAAGGCTAAGTCCGTACGCCACTGTACAGTTCACTGACAAAAAACCTGAAGTACTACCTACGTCTCGTCTAGCCGAACTCCCTTCCGAAGTCGAGGAACATGTGACTGCTTCTCTTCTGAAACTTGCTTTTTTCATTTCCCGTCGCTCCATGACATGCTCGCGATCGATAAGGGCTCCTGTCACCAATCTCTTCTCGGCCTCACTTGCGCTCGTCCAGCTGCAGAGCGTGACGAATACTGAGCTTGAGCTTGAAGTGTCGTTGGTACGGTTTAGCGAGGGACCTAGGGACCCTCGACGCGTCTCTCTGTTGGACTTCAGGGGCATGACGTTATTGATGAATATGCTTCTTGGTGAGTATCAACGTTGAGATCCTCCTCGTCGATTACTGACATTTTCCATTGCTATCACTGCTGTCGTTAGCGCTTCAACATCTAAGTTCTTCACATAGGTTTGGCATCACCCCTGCAGTTCCGACAATTGTACCTTTTTCCGATTTCACCTCCTCTCGGTCTCTCGTGATGTTCAACTCGCATATCCTATACCCTGGACCCCACAAAGGTCTTGAATCATGCATCCTATCTTCACTGGGCTTCACACCCGCCCCTGCCCTGGGACGCCACGCTCTCTTCGTTGTCGATCCCATATCTTTCTGGAGTTGCAAAAAGTAATCTGTAGATTTGCTAATGGTCCGTCCCATCGGGCAACATAACTTCATGGGGACCCGACTCGCATAGCGCTATTATGGTTTGCGTGTTAAGGGAACGTTGGCCGCGGTTGTAGGTGCTTTGCCGGCTGAGGGTTATCGAAATTTGACACAGAATGGCATGTACATTTGAGTGTATCGTGGTGAAAAAGCCTTGGCTAACAATCTTTCATGTGCCATTCAAGATGAGAGAAAGGAACTCTTTCGAGCTGCTCTCTTACGCTATAGAGATCCTCGATTTGAGACAGCTTTGACATCGCTCCCCGACATCTACAGGACCTGTTTCGGGGCCCGATCTCATTATTTTTTCAAACGTCAAGATATAAACACGTACCAGTGTCGCATCTACAGTTCCGTGATTACGTGGTTTGAGCGTCATTTCTACGTGTATCAAAAACTAAAGGAGCATTTTTTCAGATATCTAATGTGCATCATGTGCAGTCCTGTTCCATCAAAAAATCCTTCCTATCCGTGTCAAAAGGTTGACCGATTTTTGTCGTGTTCCCGTGCAATGAACCAAGGCTGTCCAAAGTTATCACTTCGGTCCGCTCAATACGCACACCTGTCCCTGAAGGCACACCGCTAGGCACCTTACACCGGAGAGAGAGGGTCCCAGCTTCTACATGGTAAGAGCCCCTTGCATCTTCCGCCGCGATTTGGAAGATGAAGGCGATTATGACGCTGAAATTGCAAACAAGCAGACTAACGGAATTCTTATCGAGTTGAAGGTCAGCAAAAAGGACGCGAAGAGGCAACCCTATACACACCTGGATGACTGCCGCCAGGGCCTCAGATAACCCGCCACCGTCTACTATCAGCCAATACGCATGATTGACACTGACGATTGTCATAGCTATCGTGCTGGAGAAAATCGCTATAATGCGGATCTTTTGTGACCTTGATAACTTTATTTTCCAGACATGACGGAGGGGCGTTACAATTAAGATGAAGTCGCTCAATACATCGGCTGTAAAAGAATAAAATAAGTCATCATAAATCCGTGATGTTGAAACTCACTGGTCAACTGTACAATCGCAACTCTCAAGGGCACTGCGCAAATCAAATGGCTTGGGCCCCAATCCGCGTTTTTCCCCTCGCACGTCCAGAGCAATTGAGCGGTAAGAATAAACCATGTTAGAAGGAAAATAGCTGCGATCCATTTGAGAAAATACCGCACTCTTCCTACGGAGATGCGGATCACGATAAAAAGAATTGAAATTCTGGCAGCCCTAGATAGATGCCACAGTTACAACAGATGGAATGGAGTAGCAGTGTGGATCTCACCCATTCACAGCAAGGTAAGACTGGGCAACACTGATCGAATGCAAGTTAGTCGGAAGTCCTTGATGCCAGGAAAAAGGCCTGACAGGTAATAAATAGTTGTTTTAGTTGCAAGAGTGTGAGAAGCTGAAGGAACAAATCAAATCAGCATTCACATATGACGGCGGCCGCGGTTAGTGAGGAAATAGAAACGCTTACTCTGATTTTGAAAGAAGATTTCGAAAGAGGTCATGAAAATAATCCCGAGGATCATCGCCAGCGCGGCCCATATGTCATCCCACCAAATATGAGTTGTGGTCTTTCGACGCCATAGCCGGAAGCAGGTTGCAAGGACACCAATCAAGGTGAGAACGAAGTTGGTGACTGGGATTGGGATGTAGCTTGGAGATATCGAAGCAATAGAAATCAGCTCACCTCGAAGCGCCAGAATGGTGGGAGTGTACATGGTCATTTCTGTGGGAGTGGGGTGGAGCGGCGACAGTGTAAAAGAGTTTCAGATGATGCTACATATGTATACTAACTTATGAACTTCTTCCGGGAAACCGGGAGCTGACCGGTGACCATCTATCCAACCGATAGCCTGATGGTGATTTCCGTGCAGTTTGATGGCAGTGGTCCAGATGAGATCGCAACTCAGCTTAACCAAGTTATCGCCTATAAAAAGAGAGCTACGAAATCGCGAGCGGAGAAACGTTTTCGGCGAACCCTTGGCGAACCCTCGATCAAAATTTAATCATAATTTCTGTTGAGTTTCTGAGCCTATCTACTTCTATCTACTTTCGCGCCAGTCGTGGATTATGGAGGCAAAGCTCAAGAGCCGTGACGTTTATTTTGCGAGGCCCCGGCGGATCAGCTTCTCCAAAGCCTCGCTATCCTTGATCTTTCATGGGCCGTAATCGGATAATCCCGGTCCGCCGATTGTGTGTGGTGTTCTAACCGCACATAATCGATCTTCAAAGCATTCAATAAGCATTCAGTCTATGTACATAAAACATCTCGCTTGCACAGATTCAAGTTCACCGACGGTTGTTGACCTTTGTGTGGCTGTCGTCTCCCCAATTAACAAAGCAAAGTAGGAAAGGGCAATTCTCAAGCTGGAACGCCCTCCCTTTCGGCCGAATTACGATGATAGGTTGACGAAGTCGTTTTCGTCCCTCTCGCTGTAGAGTCACTCGGAAGCAAGGTCAAATTTCGCGAAGAGGCATAGGCTACAGGTGGCAGGTACGTTCATTTTCACAAGTTACTACTTTTTGCATCAGGAAAAAAAAAATGTATATGTAGTTTTCTGATTGAATATGTACCCTCAGTAGTTTTCTTCAGAAAGTCAGTAGCTTCCATTGCTCCAAGTAGTGCTGATAAACTCTGGTTATGCACCCATAGTCCAGGTACACTCAGTTCATTTGTTCATAAACTCAATAGCTTCCAATATTTTCAACTCATTTCCCCATAGACCTTGATTGTTGTTCCTACAGTGTCAGTAGACCAAGTAGTTTCTGCTCGAAATATTGAGGTTGCTTGACTATTTCAGTAGACTCGATGGATTTCACCATCTGTCATATACATTGTCAAAAATAGTGCAAACACCGTGAATCGAACCCTCAGCTCCACAAGACATCTCGGGGGTGGACAAGAGAGCAATCTAGCAGCTGCACCGTACAACTGTTTAAAGCAACTAAACAGAGCTCACTAAGTAGATGCTGTTGTCACATAGCCACGCCCAAATCTGAGGACTTAGACAAAATTTCATTCATTGATTGTCGGCGTTTGGCCACGCTTGATTTGGGCGTCCCACAACCTGCCCACAAACTCCTCAACCACTACCATCATCGATCATCCATGACACCCACTCACGACCGCCGCACCACCACCGTCACCAATGGCCACCACAACCCACAACCCTCATTGACCACCCACAACCAGCCCGGGATGCCCCAACACCACAAGAACAACGCGGCAACACCACGTCACCAGCTCTGGCAAGAAAACGAGCGCCTGCAACATCGACGCGACAACGAGGACAGTGACAACGTTGTGTGCCAACCCAGGTGAGCTAACACAACCCCTGCCCCCCATTCCTTTAGTCATACAATGTTCAGGTGCCACGTCGCTTCTAGCGACGTGGCAACCAAACGACGAATGACAACCAATTCGCTGTTCGTCGTCCGGACTGACACGACACAACGACGGTGCAACGCCAACACAGGACAGCGACGACTCAACAACAATACGGAACTACCATGCGACTACGACACGGGACACGGATGTGCCACGTCATCCCAGATGGCGACAACACATGCCGTCATCACCGTCCACAGTAGACAGGTGAGCACATCACATTGTAAGCCCCACCAGCTCCTCTTGTTCCCCTTTCTAATAGCCACAACCCACCTAGCGGCCATCATAACCACCGCCATGTCACCACCTCGCCCTCTGCTACATTGAGCAATGTGACCCGACGACGATGACGACAACACACGACAATGGCTACATGATGATGGAGATGGATGGACGACGACGATACAGGTGGCGGCAATAACGGACAACCACAACCACAGTGCACAACACGACGAAAATGACCATGACGATGGACGATGCAAAGACAATGATGACGGACAACAACATCAACGACGCTTGAGCGCTCCCTCCCGAACCTGAATGAGGATACCCTGGTGTCCCTTCATTCATGTGTAATGTTATCTATTATTTTCACCTTTCATACTTTCTTGGATATTGGCTTTAAGCCTCTTTATTAGTGTGGCTGTTATTGTAGACCCCCTTGTATTAGATAGTCGAAATGCCATTTATACCCCTAATTTAATTTGGAAACAAGAAAATTAGTGGCCATCTACAAAGAAATCAGTAGATTCAGTACACACAAGTAGCTCTGGTAGCAAGGTGTACCAGTGCCTACCTAAGTGGAAGGAGGGTGTACCGAGGGCTATCAGGTGCAAGGGAAGAACTACCCGGGCTACTGAGATGTCACAGTAAACTACTGGAGCGACTCATGGGGGGGACTAGACTACCAGGGTATTATAAATACTAGAGCTACATTGACCTACTGACTCAAGAGATTTTCTCCTGATGTGGAGTGATCTTCAAGTGATCTTAGTAACTTGTTTGCGGTAGCGCATCTGGCTAAGTTCCTCTTCGCCGGTCATCCTTTCTCAATCCTCGGCAATTCTATCCTGCTTAGGCTACCGCGTTGGCAAAGACGACGGACACCTGGGGGCCTGCTATGGCTCTGGATTCCGAATGTTTTTGAGGTCACGTCGAATCCCAGCTGGCATCTGGTTCCAGAGTATCCTCATTTGGCCTCGCTTCTCCGAATTCTTCTGACATCATCATTCTTTCAAGGTTTCGTCCGTATCCCACATCGTCGCTTTCAAGCTTTTCCATTGGTTCCCAAGACTGAAGGTCGGCCTCAAGTTTATGTACGTAAGGTTATGGAAACATCTGATTCCGTGTTCAATTGCATCTCTCTGGGTAAACTACTATCTAGCCGTTCAACTTAGTTCTCTCGTGCTCTTCTGCGCTCTCCCACCTTATCGGTTCTCTGCCCAATCCTTTGCAGGAGACCATCGTGTCCCCATCTGGTATCATTCTAACACCACGGGTTACGAGTTCAACATACCCCCTCGCTCTCCACGGTGCCTCTGGTTCTTCCCCTTTTTCCACGATAAGGGAATCTCACTTCTCTCAAAGGTATACGACGAGTAGCTATAGGCCGCAGTCAACATACGCTTGAATCACGTCACAGTAGCTGACCACAACGACTGGATCTAAATCTTTCTGTTGCGTGGTAGGATTGCTATCATTGATCGCCCTAGCTTCTATGTTGACTTGAAACTCCCGTCACCCCCCAGCACAAGTCGCCCTCGCGACCTTACGGCAAGAATATATCGATGCTTTTCAGCCTCCTCTTGGTTTTTGTTGCAGGCACTTCTCATGTTGTTGCGCTCACTGGACGAACACTCAAACGTCGAGGTCCCCAGACATCAGCCGTCTGCGGCGTCGACTTTCTGTGCCAGGTGGATAATTCCCAGGGGATATCGCCGTGCTTATTGGCGGCCGTGGAAGAGGATGGTGCAGCTTTTGGTGATTGTGGTGGTGGGTTTGACGGGATGAATTTGGTCAAGCTGAGGCCGGATCCTGAGGGCGATAGGGTTGTGCAAAAGATGGTGATACGGTCATACATATCTTGGGAGAGAAGTATTTGGAATATACCCCCGCACCGACCGAGGCGCTGTTGGACCAATATATCGGGGAAGCTGAAGCCCTGACGCAGTCATGGGGGGAAGAAAAAGAAGGTGCTGTTGAAGAGCAGCTGGAGACAACGAAGGTGCTGGAGGAGATATTGGGGTCGATGCGTGGAAAGGTTCCAGAGGACTAAGAAGAAGAAATAACGCAGCGCTTGTATGAATTGCAAGAGCAGGCTCTGGAGGAACTGGGAGAGTTGTTGGAGATGGCGCAGAAGATGGATAATATGATGCAGGAACAGGCGGAAAAGGTGGCGGAGGAAATACAGGAGGCGATGGGGGACCTGATGGATGAAGTTTCCGAGTCTAGCAAGACCTTGGCGAAGCTGCCAGTGTTCAAGGAAACGAAGAAATAGAGCAAGGCAAATGCATGATTGGTAAATTGTATACATAATGATAGTTAGTGTTCGAAAGTCCGGTTAGGTCCGGTTATTGGGTGCCCAGGGGCTCTAACCGAGACCGAGACCGGTTAGCCTTTGTCCCGAAAGCTAAAATAACCTAACCGGACCACAACTAACCGGTTACAGTCGGTTATTTGCAGTTACTAACCGGTTAGGACCGAAAAATAAAGAATCGGTTATAACAAGGCAAATATGCTCATATGTATCTTGATAGATATTATTTCTGCATATTCTAGCTTTAAAACGAGCCCAAGAACGCTAAAATCGGTGAAGAATTGACATATTTATGCAATTATCCTTGAAAGTCTACACATTTGAGTGATATTTTAGAGATTTGACCGTAACTTAGTCAAATTTTAAGTGTTTTCGACGTTCTCAAGTGCCCTTTGAAGGTGTATAATAGGGCTGGTTATAACCGGTCATAACCGGTTATTTAACGGTTAGTTAACCGCAAAATAACCGGTTATTCCATTTTCGAAATCAACTAACCCTAACTGCGGTTAGGTCCGGTTATT